ATAGATACATAGATATATAATACATATATATTATATATATATATATATATATATATATATACATTCGAAGATATCCCATTGACCATACATCGGCTTAATAATAAGTACGGTGTACACTTAATTGGTTTATGTATTGCTTGCACTATACCATTTGCTAATTACTATTTAGATAAACTGTGGATCATAAAAGAAGTGCAGCTGCTTTTCATAGTTTCTTTAAAGTATCGTTCTCGCGTGACGAGGCAAAGGACGATTTCACATCATCCAAAAGTTTAATTTATTTTTGTTTTGTACGTGATACGGAAAGTGACAGATCACATCCAGCCTCAAGGCCCACAGCCACAGGCCACAGGCCACAGGCCACAGGCCACAGGTCACAGGGTGGCTATTTCTATTTTTATCGAAATAAAAATTTGTTGTGTGTGTGGATCACAGTGCATGTAAATATGTATTCATATTTATAAATATTTATACATATTTATATTTATACGTTAGGCGTGTACACGACGTCGTAGATCTTCAGTATCGCTTTGCGATAAAGCCTTGCTATTGCATTTGTATGCGCATAACACATACTAGCAAGGATAAACTCGGTACCTTTTAAATTCCCTCGAGCCTTGCATACGCATATTTACTGACTTAAATTGAGTTAGTTCTGTGTACTCTACCTCAGAGCACACGAAAGGATGGCGAGAGGAAATGAAAGAGAGCGCAACCGTGCAAAAAATGATGCGAAGAACACTCAGAGTAATAAGAAGAAGCAGTCTGAGGCAAAGGTATTGTGAAGAAAATGGAGTTGTCATATTTGAACAGCATGCACTAAGCCATTGTATATGTGCTATTGTATTATGCGCACATCCACCCTCTCTACCATCCAATTTTGTTAATGATTCGTGTACACTACATACTACGATAATATACACAGATATTTGCGGTATCTACTTATCTATGCCGTTGATACTTATGTAGCAATATAACCATTTAGGATAATCCAATAGCAAGCTTTACTGCTGCATTTCGTAGGGCTACGTAAACCTGCGAATGTGTATCCATATCTATATATCCATACCTATACCGTAGTATTTATATACGCGCACGATTATGTAATTATGATAAAGCATACAGCTATACAATACC